TTATTGGAATTTCACCAATTTCCATTTCTTTTACCACTCTAGGCACTTCCCATCCAAAACTTTTGATTTCTTTCTTTCCTTTTTCCTAGAAAGCTTTTAGAACTACCCTAACTGGGTGATCTTGACTATGTCCTAATATACTGACCCAATTTCTTAGTGACAGTTCAATTCTTCTAAGATCTAAAGGCATTTCTCCCATTTCAGTCTGCTAGGCTGCAGTTGGTGTAGGCCTAGATCTCATCGCCCCCGTACATAATCTTAACGCCTTGTACTGGATTTTGTCCACCTCTTTAAACACAGTATTAGCAGCAGATTGATACACTATACTCCCATAATCAAATACAGATCGTATCAATCCTGTATATATACTTCTTAGAGCCATCCTCTCAGCCCCCCATTCTTTCCCCACTAAACATCTCATAACATTCATTACCCTTTTACATTTATGAACAATTTTCTGAATGTGTATTTTAAACGTGAGTTTTTCATCAAACCACATACCCAAAAATGTAAAACGTGATACTCTTTCTATATCTTGACCATATAATTTCAATTTTACCTCTTTTCTAATCCTATACATTTTGAAAAGAATAAAGTTTTAGTTTTTCAATAGAGAATCTAAAACCCCACTTATATGACCACCTTTCTACTTCTGTTATTGCTTCTTGCACTTTCCTTACAACAAACTCTAAATTCCTCCCTCGTTTCCAGATTGCGTCCGCGCGGGCTCTGTGGTAAATCATGTTTTTAGTCCGGTCAAAAACACACATTTTATGACTTTTTAGTATGTTTTTTCTCGGTGCCCATTTCTTACTTGTGATTTCAACAAAAATGTGAGTATCCAAGTTTATTAACTTCTGTCTCTGATTTATTTCCTCCCCTGTTGCCATATGGCAATTACTGCCAATATTATTCACCGTTCAAGACGGCAACTAATGTCAGATTGATCGGTGATCATCACCGTAATTAATTCATTTGCTTAATTATTTACATTATAATTATGGTAACTGTTTCATGACCACACATCCAGATGAGATTTCAGTCACGTCTAAGTCAATAGGCTAAATTAAATCGCAGATGTTCTATGTTAATAATTGTAATTCTAATGTCGTTGGGGGAAAACCATATCATTTTAATAGTGCTTTAGTTCCTTCCTGTTCCTGACTTTGTTGACCTATCTTTCTGGACTTGTCTGAATCACATATTTCCTCTTTGCTTTATTTCTACTACTGTTGGATCAAACATTTTCTTTGACTCTAACATTTTAATCAGGAACAACTACCACACCTTTCCTTCTGTAGTGCCTCCACATCCGTTAAAAAGAAATTGGTTCTGAACATATTATTTCAGATTTAACATCATGAGGTGCTCTCTTGGTGCAGTGTGCTGTGAATTCATGACCAACTAAGCTGAAAAAAAATTGGGATAATATAATTAAGTGTCATCTGGTTAAATGTCAATTTCTTTCATATAACCTTTATCCCATTTCTGAAACTTTCACCTAACTCTGAGAGTTTTTCTTTAAAGTTTAAATAAAGGTGTTAAAATAGATAACGTCTAAACATCTGTTTTTAATTTTAAATATTGCATATGACACATAATGTGTGCTAAATGAGGGACAAAAGCTGCATTTTGCAAAGGTGTATCGCCACAAAATTGGTTTAATAAACTGGGTTTCACTATTACCATTACATTAGTTTTATTTTCCAAAGCCTATACACTCAGAACTCAGGCTCATTCAAACAGCCTCTCAAAACCAGCTGACTAAACCTTTCCATGAGCTGGGGACACCAGGATGACCCTTAGTCTCCACCTGAGAGAACAACATGCTCTTTGAGTCCAGAAAGTGGACAGACGGATTGTTGACACATTCAGAATGGCCTGACTCACCGTTTCCTGAGAAAGCTCCACTCCCAGGTACCCACAGTGACCTACCCGCATAGCAGCCTCTTTATGACCTGTTTGCAAGCTAATTCCCCAAATATACTGTATTTTTAATTGCATAACACTGATTTCCTGGATTTTTTTCAGTGCTGAACTGGCTGTCATTCAGAGAAGGTCGCATGTTTGTGGTGCCATGTAGAGCTAAGAAGAAACAAAGGCTTTCAACAACACGTGAAGAAACCTAAATAAGAATTATCCTGCTTTCTGTCAAAATAATTTATGACATGACTCGGGGTGCACATTCCAGGAAGGGTCACCCAGCTTGTTGGGAAGCACCAGTGAGGAAGTGGAAACAAACACCATAAGGGGTCATCCAGTTTCACCCAAGCTAATCCAAGTTTGGCATGGGTTTTTACTACTGGCGGAGCAATTGTGAGAGTAATATGTCTGGGTGTTGGTGTATTTAGACATACCGGAGGATGGTTTTAAACTATATCTGCAGAGACCTGCTAAGGAACCCCAGAAAGAGAGGCACTCACTATCCTACTTCTGTGGGTGATGGTTTAGGTTTGCGCCAAATAGAAAGATTCCTCTACCAATCTAAAATGGACATCTGTGATGATCTGATCATCTGGCTGTGTTTAAGAGGTCTGTTGAGGAACAACGTTCTGGGGGGAAAAAACTGGATAAAGATGCTTCATGACATCTCCTGTAATCTTAATCTCTATTCTTTTGAGACAGCATTGAGTCATGGACAGCAAGGTATATGCAAAGTGACTTACACAGTTTGTATTGACAGTATGAGTCACCAAGTTAAAAAACCAAGAGAACCAGAGGTAGTTTTGTCTGGAAACCTACATTTGGAAATTCCACCTCGCTGAACAATCTTAACTCATAAAGAAGTGTTGGATATTTACTGCCAGCTCAACGTCTCCACTGGGAGCCAGTGCTCCACTAGTGCTCTGGAAATGAATCTTTGGGAACAAGAAGATAGAATCTAGCATGAGTAGATGGTCTAGTCACGCACAGAACAAACGTACTCATCAGTCCACAATTTGCAGGAGTCCAGTTTTTAGACATGAGCAAGGAAAATATATTTTGAGAGCTCCTACAGATAATGCTACTACTTTACTACAAGTGTAGAACTATAAAAAACATAAAACAAATAAATGTATTTTGCAAGTCAGATTGCGGCGTCTAGTGATGCAGAAATTGCACACTTCACCTTTAACTTCTGAAGGACCTCATGTCCATTCTGAATTTAGATATCCACAGGAATGCTTTAACCGAGTCAGTTTCGTTTGCTGCACAAATAAAAAATATCCCCCAATGCCAGAAGCTTCATTTAAATGGATTCCTTATCACTGGTGGTGGCTGCCTTTCAGAAAATTATTTTATTTCTAAAATAGTCTTGAGCTAATATTTACAGATGCTAAAGAAATCACTTGTGGTGAAAGAGAGCACAAGATGAGCTCTAGCTCTGAATTAAGTCTCCAGATACCACACGGCTCCAAAACGGATTCAACTGGCAACTGACGCAAATTCTGAAAGACAGTGTGCAATC